CAGACAGACAGACAGACAGACAGACAGACAGACAGACAGACAGACAGACAGACAGACAGACAGACACACCCACCCCAACCATCTTCTTCCCATTGTTTGGAGGACTGGGGCACAGGCTTCTCCAGGAGTGGGGTCTTCCCACCCACAGAGCAGGAGGTTCCCCATGATGCTAACAGATGGCTTCTTTCTTCTCCTTCCATTTCACCCAGGAACTGCTCCAACTGGTTAATGCCAGGCTTTCCAAAGCCCTGCTTCCACCTAGTTCATTTGAACTCCTCCTGAGAACTGGTCTTTACACTCCAGCGATTGTGGTACAAAAGTACACATTTTTAGTAAAATTCTCAGGTGATCTGTAACAATCCCACCTAGGGGACCTGGTTAAAATGTAGGTTTGGATCCAGTATCTGCTGAGTGGAGACAAACTGGTTGGAAGCCAGGAAATAATCTGCCTGGTTATCTTGGAGCCAATAAACCCACGCCCTTCCCTTTCTCCGAAGGCCCTAAACCTTGACTGCGAGGGCGACCTTGGCAGCCAGCAATAGGATGGAATCCTGGAGGGAAGGTAAGTCAGGTGGGTGGATTTGGCATATGCCCCTTCAGCAAAAGTCAGCAGCAAAGCTGAGTTCTGGTCCCACCCTAGGTTCCCTCACCACTTAGTGGTACCAGGTGGCCCTTGTGCCAGCTGGCAGGGATGACGTATGAACCTCAAGGAGAGACACTGTCAACACTCTTGGATAAAAACTACCTCTCACATTGGAATTTTCCATTAGACTCTCAAGTTAGAGAGACATGAGAGCAGGGTGGCTCACTGCCTGGAACCAAGAGGGTACTAGGCAGGAGCCTGACTCACCATCATCTGCCTGGCAAGCCACCTAGTGTCCTGCAGCAGAAAGGCACTCTAGCCTGGGGTTCAGGCAACAAAAATCAAGTGGCCACAAGCAGTGTGTGGCTTTATAGCCAGATCAGATGCTTTTTGCCTTTACAGAAGAAAATAGCAAGTTGGGTGTAAAAGCCTGACAGCAGCGCTTGTGGCCAGCTGGAGACTCATGCCCAGCTAAAGCAGCTGCCAGACCGTACTTCTGTGGTTGCCGCTTGTCAGCCACAAAGCAACCATAAAAATAAGACTAAAGATCATGTGACCCTTCCCAGTGTTTACAAACCAAAGCCAGGCCAACACCTAGTGACCAGTAGGTGCTTATCATTTCTTTTCTGGTGTAACCATTGGACCTCCTGTGGGTCCTGCTGGAAGGTAAGAGGTCGGTGCGCTTCTGGTATAGCGCACAGGTGAAGAGCTTGCCTATCTCCATCGCACGAACAGCGGAAGCACCTGGGGAGCATCTTCAGCTTTGGAAACTTCCAAAGGGAGACATGGAATCCCAAGTACAATGGTTCTTACAAACCCGTGGTGCACAGTTTGGCCAGCATGTTAAAAAAAGGAAGGGGCGGGGGTGAGGGTTCACTGTTTTTAGTTTAAAATATTCGTCACAAAATTTCCCATACTGTCCCACTCTACTTGTCAAGACCCTAAAGGCTCTCACACCTGGTGAAATTCAAGATTTGCCTCCCTAAATTTGAATCCCAAATATGAGGTTGCTTCAAAAAGTTCATGGGAAAACTTAGTATCTTTTAATCCCATTTCTCCAGGAACTTTTTGAAGCATCCCCCCACCCCCAATTCTAATTCTGAGCTAAGAATCTTACCTAATCTTACCTACCTAAGGATTGTCCCAAGGAGTCACAAGAACTAGGTAATGAACTCCCTTGGAGCACTGTTGGCAAAGGGCTAGGAACCACTATGAAAGATGTTCTCAGGACATCAGTGGAATTAGGTCTGATCACTGAATGTTCCAATAGGTGGTAAGCTGGCTGGAATCTGATTTCTAGGTACTGTTCTCGTCTCGTAAGACCCCCCGAGGTTGCGTGCATAAGCTGGAAAACTAAATCTGTGGATGAACAAAGTAGAGTGAATGGCAAAGAGCCATCTATGTTCATGTGCTCAGCACATCTCTTTTTGAGGGAAGGCTACGTAAAAAAATCTAACGACCATGTCAAGGAATGGACTGGGGAGGAGCACCTTCTTTTCACATTACTGCCTTCTAATTTCCCTTTTTCTTACATCTTCACATCGGGTGGGCCCAAACCTTCCAGTGTGAGTTTTGCTGTGCAGACAATGTCCTCGTTTGTACTTCCTCACATTTTTATCGTTAAAGTCCAAGAGTTGTGGACTGGACTCCCATTACCAAATGTGCCCAACCCTGCAGGCCACCACCTCAGGCCACCCCTTCCTGGTGTCCGCTTGTCTGAGTCTGCTGCCTTTCTGCAATGTTTGCACAGTCCCTTGGAGAGCTTATCTAGTCCCAAGGCTTTTAAGTACTCTCCCAAACCAACTCCCAAATGCCTATCTCCAGCGCAGCACCCTTCCTGAACTCCCACTGCACACATCAGATCCGCCTACTCAACAGTGAGCATCAGACACACTTCTCACGGACTGCACCGAAGACTTGATCCATGTCCCCTCTACAACTGACCCCCGGCCTGCTCCATCTCAGCTGCTGGCACAGCCAATCTTATAGCCATCCAGGCCCCAAACATGAGAGCCAATGAATGACAGAGTACAGGAATCCCATGGATTGGATCAAAGATACTACACCATCCTTGTATCTGAAATATGTTTACACTGAACTCATTTTAAGTCTGAGACGTGGATCTTAACATTTTACTTTTTTTCAATTATGTCATTTTTGCAAGTTGGGAATCAATCAAACAGCTGTCTACTTCTCTGGCCTTCAGCAGGATGACTATACAAGATGCTAAGTGAAAGGGCTCTAACACATGAAATAATAACCGCTATCATTTTCATTAGGAAGCAGCCTAAATTCCAGTCCTTGAGGGCCTGCTGTAAGGAGCACCTGCTCTGCAAAGGGCAGAAAGCCCCGTGACGTGCCGGCTGGCATTCTGGTGACACAGATCTGGGCTGAGTACGGGCTGGTCAGCAAAGAAAATGTTTATGCGGTGGCTTCAAAAAGCTTGTGGGAAAATCACACTTTTCAAAGATAATGGAATTTTTCCAAGAACTTTTTGAAGCCCCATCTGAAAATCTCCTCTGAAGTTTAAAAAATCCCAGAATGCTGTCACTAAGCAAGTACAAAATTTTGATCATATTGTTACTTGAATTTTAGTAGCCTAGTGTCCCACTAGATCATTCGTGTCCCACAGAACACAAGCTGGGAGAGAAGGGCGGGGGGACCTGGAGGGCTATTTCAAAATAAATGACTCCGCTTTGTTTTTGACGGACAGCCTGTATCTTTCCATTTGCCACAAGAGCAAACCGACAGACTACTGAAAGAGGCACGTGCAGCTCTAGGGAGGGCGGCACCGAACGCTTCCACTGCAGCCGGAGCTCCTGCTTCTCCACTCAACGACCATCCCTCTTCTTCCAGGACGGTCACGTGGAGAACCGGCGGAAGCTTGGGCCAGGGAAACAAAGCATCCTTACTTTCCTGTCAGCGTCTCTGAGACAGACCCATAAAACCTGGCCACAGCTGGGAGCCATCTGCACACTACTGAATTCCTGAGCCCATGGCTCGTTTCAGCCCAGTGTCACAGACTGAGCTCAGTCCCATCTGACCCTCCTCGGGCACGGGGTGGGTGCTAGTCATCAAAGTCGGGGATGTCGTCGTAGGAGTAGCCCCGGTAGCCTTTGGATGCATAATAGGCGATGCGCAGGTGGTAGAATCCTGGCAGGAACACCAGGATGCCGATGATCAGGACGGGAACGGCCCGGTCTGCCCCCTGGTGGCAGAAGGAGGCAAACACATTAGTTCCACACAAAAAATAAAGGCTGCCAGCAAAGTACAGATTGATTGCTTCACGGTGTGTCAGTTTAGAACTGTCCCACAGTGTTTTTAATGGCTGATTTTACAAAAAGCAGACCAAGCCTTCTTCCACTGTACCTCTGGGCCAATTTAAATCTCCACCCTTTCAGTTGGGGGCATCACCCAGGGACACTGCACATATTTTAATTTTAAAACAAAGCCATTGATCCTCTAAGCTTTTCAGAACATCTTCTTTGGGTAGTACATTACTAAGAGAAAAGGTTTTCAATTTTCCCCCTCCTCACTATAATTGTAGAAGCCCAACTAAGTACTAAAAATGTTAAGGAATGGAAATCATCGATGTATATTCTTGTCCAGTTATTTCTGCTTATTTCCTTTGCTCCTTTCAAGTTTTTCAGTTGTGAACACAACCTCTGTAGCCTTTCGTCTCTTATTAAAACAAGCAATTGCCAATGCTATTAATATTTAAAGTGGTCAGTCACAGGCAAAGCAGTGTAATCGGAACAGATCCAAATTTGTCAACCTTGGATATCAATAGCGGGCAAGGGGGCAATAACCAGAACGGAGGAATGGCAGGCCAGAGCCTGGGCGGCTGGGAAGTGACCAAGCCCGTTCAGCAGTCTGATGCAGACCGATGGCTGCCACGCCCGACACACTGGAGAAAAACAAAGCAGCTGGCCACGATCTCTGAACCAGGTGATCACATCTGGTTGCTATGCCCATTTTCTAGGGGACAGATTAAGTTTCTTGCAGGGTGTTGGCTTTTTTTTGGGGGGGGGGCATTTTATTGTGCTTTAGGTGAAACTTTACACAGTAAATTAGCTTTCCAACCAGTAATTTGTACAGTCCAAACAATGTAATGTGCCAGCAATTTCTTCCTCCCTGGGGTTCCTGTTGATTGGTCCTGTTTGCCTGGCCCTTCCTGTCTCTCCTACCTGTGGTCTTGGGAAAATGTTGCCTTTTGACTGTTCTTAGAAGTACAGTGAACCCTCGGCACTTCGATTTCCGCGGCTTCACTCTACCGCGGTTTTTGCATAACAGCGCATGCTCTGTCACTACTGCCACTGATTGGCTCATACTGTACACACTTGATGCCATAAATAATATAATAAATAATAAATGATAATTGTAAC